ACTTATACCAAAAAGCGCTAGGAACATGTTCCAAAAAGTGTTAAAGTTAAACTGACTAAAAAGAAGCAGAATTGATATGGAAAAGGATAGTCGTGTTGTTTTGCTCATATTTACGGAAAAAACACACAATCCATACACAATTGGTTTCCCTGACGCTTACAGAATTGCTTCAAAACACCAACTCTTGACCCGATTATGCTGGACCCCAGCTTGATTACATAACGGTAAACTCAAACTCATCTAAATGTAATTCTTTGTCCAGAGCAGAGAGAAAGAAAGAGTTAACTAATTTCAATGTAAAGAACAGTTCTCCTCAACTATGAGTAACTTGTAGAGAACATCATGGCCATCTTAAGCATCCTATTGCTACAAGAATATGAATTATTGCATCATATCATCGTCAACCAGCCAACTTATTAACCACATAATTTAGCTCAGTATAAGCCTTGACAATCTACTCTGCATATTTCTAAATCAAAGAATTTAAGAAGTCCAGCGAGAAATAGTCTAAGAATTAAAATTAAGAACTAGAAAAATTATTTATCACAGGCACCAGAAAAGAAAGTGCAAAAGCATCTTCAAAATCAGACTAAAAGTGGTAAAACCGTAGTAGCTAAATTGAAGACAAACCAAAAACCATCTGAGCTTAGAGAAGCGGCACCTCAGTACATCAAAATACTATTACTACTACTACTACTATTATTGCAAACAGTTAAACATTAATATCTTGCTCATTAAAGCAAAAATTGAACAACTAAAATAGCATAATGCACCAATTTGCTATGAAGTGATTTTACAGACACATTCATTTTACCTTGTTTCAACTGAAATCATGAGTATCAAAGTAACAAGTCAGCTAAGCTGGACTACTCATCCCACGACAATTCATATCTACTGAATAAATGATTAGTGCAGATCCAGACCAGAGGAGAATAGATTGAGATGGCCTCTGATAGCAACCATGCACTGAGAAAAGCTCAAAGATGGTGCATGGAAACAACAGAGGGGAACAACTCTCCTATGCATTATGTGGCCCTTATGGAAGTAATAAACCAGGAGATACTATGAGGGGAAATAACTTGTTGATTGTTGTAGAAATTTTAAAGCATAAGTTGCTTAAAGACTTAAACACCTTTTTACATAGGTGATGTAAATGACTTGGTGAATTTTATTAATTTGTAAGACTCCATATACATGTAACTTTGTAAAACTGTGGTAGCACCCTTCTGGAGCCTTTATACTATTGAGATTGAAGTACTCTATTCATCAAAATATAAATATAAAACAGAGATATGCCAACCCAGACCAGTAGATCAGTGCTCTATCATTTTATTCAAAAAGAAAAAATTCTAAAGATTGATTTTTGTATCAACCAATCACTACTTTTCTAAAACAAATTCATCAAAATGCCAACCACAATCTCCAAAGCCCTAGAACATAACAACAACATGCCCAGTGAAATCCCACAAGTGGGGTCCGGGGGAAGGTGGTGTGTACGTAGACCAACCCTACCTTATGAAGGCAGAGCTCCTCGACAAAAATACTTGAATATCCAGATCATGGAAAATTCATCAGATGGGGAGCTTATTAAGAAAGTAACTAAATTCTGAGATTCAAGTTTATCACGAACATTTTACTCTCCATTCCTCAACAACTGGCACATAAGGATTGAAGCATCTGAGTGTTATCGATACGTACAAGCACAGAATAGATACATATATATTCTGTCTATACATATGGGTATAATACCTAACATCATTATTCATACTTATGGACAACTCTTCATGTAAAGTCACTGTTTATAGTATCTGTTTTGAAGTTTGGAGATAAAAGTATGAGGTGGAGTTGTGGACGGGAAAAATATAACCCCTGCACGCCTAACCATGAGTGAGGTTATGATGGATAGAAGATGCTGAGATCCCTATGATGACTTGCGATATCTACTCAACGAGTGAACAATATACGGCGGTGCAAGAACAACTACTGGGAGACAAGTTCAGATGTTCCACAAAGATTGCGCAGAAAATACCGAGAGCAAGCCTCTTAGCAGAAAAGTTAAGTACTACGATAAAAGAAAGTTCCACAGAGCAGTAAGGTGGAAGGAAGTTTGATCCATCGGGTACAGGAGGAAAATTTCCTCTTTTGGGTGGTAAATCTCTCGAGGACTTTGTGATATTTGAAACTACCTAGTGCATAATTCTCTAACACAGTAATGTTGGTGCAACAAGTGCAAAGCTCAGAGGGATTTTCCACACAATATATGTGTTTCATTCATTTGTTTATACTAATGAAGTAACTGTGGTTATTCTTCCAGTGGGTTTCATTCCACAGCTCCCAACAGAGCATACATTAAACACAAACTTCCAACTAAGTCCAGTTTGGCAACTGATCCCTTAACCTCAATTTGAATAGCAGAGCCATTTAAGGTTGAAACTTTCAAAAATGTATCTGAACAAATAATCAGGACTTATCAAACTAGTTCTGGGACCTCAACGGTGCAAATTCTCAATAAGATAGATTCCTTTTATGAACCACAATAGACAGTTGTATTGTACATCCAAACCACTTACTCCCCCAGTGATCAAAAGGACAATATCAAACTTAACCATTAATCTAGGAACCAGGAAGGTAAAGCGTTTTAAGAGAATGAATAACAGTAAAGTACCAGCATTTACAAGGGCATCCCATAGTTCCTCTGGCAAGATGCATCCACTATGCTCCACATCAATAGCCTGAAAAATCCTATACAGCTCCATCTCCTTATCATCCATGTATTTCCTAAACTCCTGATAATCAACCCTTCCATCCTTATTAGCATCACAACCATTCAACAATTCCTTAGCAAACTTATACTCCGCTGGAATTTGCATAGCAGACAAACCCTTTTCAATTTTCGCATAATCCAAGTACCCCGCATTGTCAGAATCGAAAAAACTAAAGAGGCTTCTGATTCTCGACTCCCTCTCTTCCTTGGTCTCACCTAAAGCTGATAGCACATGGTCCAACGAAACCGGGCCGGCCTTCTTCACCGGGTTACAACATCCGGACCGGTCCTTTGTTGCCATTGCTGGAAAATTCACATGCTCTACTGCCTCTCCAGCCACTGACATGCCAGAAAATTGATTTTTCCAATTTCTTCACAGCATAGGCAAAACGATTGAATTTTTTTTTAATGGATCTTTTCTTCACAGATCTAACGCTACTTTGAACAGAAGGTACCTTACAGTGGAGGAAAAATAAGAAATTAGATTTGTTATTGGAAGAGGGGAGAAGAAGAGAATATTTGTGGAGGATCTTCTTTGAGAGTGACCCGATGAATGAACCCGGTTTTATTCGGGTCAAAATTCGAAGTTTCTGAATTTAAGGTCGTTTATTACGTGACTAATTTAAGATTAAGACTAAACACTATTATTACATTGATTTTTTTTACCAGCAATAATAATAACACACTCAGTTTAATATCACAAGCAAAGGATAGATCCTCGATTTAAGTATAAGTATTAAATTTGTTTTTATTTAAGTTAAGCAAAAAAATCAAATATTTAATTTACACTAAAGCAGAAATGGGTCAATTAATAGTAACTGAAAACTGAAAAGTTTCTTGCTTTAAAAATATTCCAAAGTGAGTGGAAGGTAATCTTGATGATGTTTTTCTTTTCGAAACAACGATGACTAACAAGTTTGTTTGGCTTTCGAAATTTTTACCATAACATAATTAGGAGTAAAGTTGAATTGACAAAAGTTGATTGATTATAAGTTTGTATTACCCTCGTCTCTATTTACTTGTCAACTATTTTTTAATTTGATTTTTTTTATTTGTTACTTTTTGATAAATCAAAAACAATTATTTTTCTATTATATCTTTAATTTATTAATATTAAATTAATATCGTGGAAATTAAGTTAATATCTTTGAAATATGTAGTGAATAAATATATTTGAGACCTATGAATTAATATGATAAACTTACTATAACAATTATTATTTTCTTAATACATATATCAAATTAAAATTTGACAAGTAGAAAAAAACGGAGGGAGTAAGCAAGAGTGGTAGGTTTATTTTCCACAAAAAGAGAAGATCAATAGGAAAAAGGTGAAAGGCCCAATTTTGGTTTCGTGAATAAAACGCAGCAATCGTGGACCAATGGAAGGATGTCAGATGTCAAACCACGTGTTTATTGTTTTTAGGTGAAATAAAGACGACGTGATTGTGACAATTCATTCCTTATTAATTATTGCAATTTTTATGAAATCAAATTGTTGAGTTATCCCTGGATTTTATATAGCATATAGTGAAACAAGCACAGAGCTTGATTGTATTTTTGGGCACAGTTAAATGTAAATATTTATATAGAGTAAAGTCCACTTGTTTTTCTATTTACGTTCTGAATTAAATATCAGAAGATTAAATGTGTCCATTAGTACTTAATTATGCGTACTAACTAAAATTGGGATAATTTTTTCACTAAAATATGGGATTTTCTGACTGAAAATTTCTGTCCATGCAGAAGGTGCATATTGCTCTTTGTTGTAATCATGGTATAACCTTGTTTTAGAAATAATCTAACCCTAAATATATTTATTAGCTGGCCCACAGCATCTAAAATATTGTTGGGTGCAAAAGGATGAACAGCGACAATTTTGATGACTTCAACTCATTTTTATGCCAAGGAAGCAAATTATGACCACACGTTTGCATTGCGAAGACCCCATTATTATTATTATTATAAAAATCTATTTCAGGGAATAAATGGTATAGAAAGAATAAAATATCAAAGATTAATATAGTTTGAGTAATCAATAAAAATTGATCAGTATGACTCAAGGCAATAAGTTTCTGTCTGATTAAGTTTTCACCTCGCCCCTAGTGCACTTTTTTTTAGTTTCTATATTATAATATTATGTTATCCACAATCCAGGTGTCACACCTAAGCTGCGGATAAATGACAATAATCTCCTTCTTAATATAGTCCTTAAACAATCTTTGTGGTCACTCTCATTATTCATTAAGAGGCTTGTTTCACCCGGCAGATACGATTGTGTACGCGTTACATCTCTATTCTCAAGTACACACTATATGCAACATGTAGTTAGAAAACTAAGCAAGCACCCCATAGACTAAAACATCTACAATTTAACTGCCTAAAAGTTAGCATATGTACCAAGAACCAACTTGAGTCGAAACAGTTGATCACATGGTACATTATACCGGTCACCAGAGGTTAGGCTGAAAGAACCTCACATTAGGATCGATTCACACCCTTCTTCTCTTTCGCTCTGATGTTGATAACTTACAGTTGCAGCAACAAGTGCTGCAATTCCAAACCCTGCTAATGCCAAAACAGCATTATGTAGTATGACAATATCACCCATCTGCAGAAACAAGGAACACTAAGTTTAGGATCTTTTGAGGAGGCCATTGAAACAATAAAATCGATGGGCAGAATACATAGATGGCTTGTCGATTTTTTTCATCTACACACTTTAACTAGACGGGTGACTTATTGATGAACACCTAACATATACTCATAATGTACCTATTGAACTTATTGTTGACTGTAAGCCAGAAACTAAACAGGTGAAGTTCACACCAAAAACCAACCAGCTTCTGCCATCTCACCCGAACCCCAGACTCTTTGCTCCGACGAAGTGGCTTCTCAGACATCTTTTTCCTCACAAGCTATAGCCCCACTCTCAAAACCTTTCTAACATACCAACTATCTACACAGACAATATTTATATTCAGCTTTTAGACATTAATTGAAAGTTCATTACATCAGATCACCTGAAAAGATTTCAGATAAGAACATGAAGCAAGATCTTACATTGTCTCTGGAATGCAGGATAGAGCTAGATTGCCCAGAAACCAATATATAGAACAGGCCCATAACTCCTGTATGCCTTTGATCACTGCTATAGTTTGATAATAAAGTCAGAGTCTCTCCCTCGGATATCTTGACAGAGCCAGGCCTGGGATAACAAGTGGACATACCAACAATATAACCAGCTTCATTTCCTTCTCCATAGATTGGAAGAGATGAGCATATAACCCGTCCATCCTGAACCAATTTAGTGGAGAAACAAGAAACAGTAATCAGCAGACCTTACATTCCTTTGACGTATCGAAACAATCACAAGACGATCAAGACAACTTCAAATAGATATGCTACAAATCATAATCGTCACATTATTCACTAACCATAGTACTGAAGTTGATTGAGGATTTTATTGCGATACAGATAAATACAGTACACAGAGAAAGAAGGAATCAAGCAGTGCTTAGCTTAACACCAACCCTTTGTGAGAGCTTCACGTGTAACATTGTAGCCCCAAGAAGATTGACCAAGGACTAGCATCCACTAATCAACTCGCAAAGGGAGGGTGGATTCGTAATCCACAGAAGGTGACACCCTATTAACTAACTTTCAAAAGGTTTAATTAAGTAATCATCTCAACCACACAACAAAGAGACAGCTATTAAGCTTTCCCAGACATTGAAGAGGAAACAAAGCAATACTCTACAATTTTTAGGATCTAGATAACAATTGCAATCAACAAAATGAGTCCCTAAAAGTTTGATGCTTGTGACAGTTTTGCCTTAAGATCGACCCATTGGCATCGTTCAGGTCCTTTATCAGTAGACTGGTTTACAAGGGAACTTGACTTTTAGGTCTGAAGAAATTTGGCCAAGCCTATGTCACTTTCTTAATCGAGAGAAAAAGGAGACCAAAGAAGTACAGGATTGATGCATGAATGATCAAATCATAGAGATGGAAGAAAATTCCCCTGGGAGACCCAAATATTGGGGAGTTCACACCGTGTGGCATAACAGAAACTATAATTTGATTATTTTCCTCACCTCAAATACATTTGAAGCAGGACGTGTTGATATTGTGTAACTGTTATCTCTTGTATTCAGGTTAGTAAAGCAGAAACAACCTCTCTAAGATACAGTCCATCAACATTACAAGTGTATCACCAAGAAAAACTTCATCCTAGGTGCATAAATTAGCAAAGTGGGAAGTCGTGGAATTACTAGATTCTGAGCTGACTATGACCAAAAAAACAAATTTTAACATCTCAAAGTACCTCTCCAAGGAGGGTTGAACCAATCCCACCTGCATGCTGGTGAGCAACTCCGTAGATAACATTTCCACCATTAGGCAAAGTTACACTTATCTTTTTTGTATGGATGCATCCATTATTAGCAACAGCAGCAGAACATGACTCAACTTTATATTCAATCTGTATCAAGAAAGTTCAACTAAATTATTGACCGCAATATCTAGGGGATAAAGGCTTCAAAAACATTGCAACTTATGAATCCAATTACCATTCATTTTATACAATAATAATAATAACATAGGCAAATAATTGCACAATTCCTAGGATCTTATATACTGAAGCGTCAAATCTATGAGGGTGGAGGGAGAATGCCGGCCGAAAGCCAATAGATTTGGTTCAAACTCTATATTTGTCTTTAAAATTCATTGAATATTTAGAACCCATAAGATTCAAATCCTGACTCCGCCTCTGAAATCAATATTACTCTTTTTTTTAATAAGTAATATCACTCTCTTATTCATTCATCAGTTGGAAATACTTTCTAAAGGAAACCAACAAAAAGTTTTTGTAGATATCCTAGAGAGGATTTAATATTGCTGATTCCAACCAGTTTGGGATTGAGTGATTGAAAGCAAATAACCAAATTAGAAGTGTTCATCACCTGACAATGATGTCTTGACGGCTTAAGTCCTGTTGATTTCCGCCTTTTCCATGTATCAGTGACATCAAGAATATATATTTTAACAGGCTTAATGAAGGCATGCCAATCAACATATTTGATTGTGTACTTCAGGTACAAACTTCTCTTTGGACCCTGAAACCCTTCTCTTGTTCTGCATCTTGTTTCATCATGACAACATCTCAAGCCTCCAATGTAATTTGGTTCTATATCTCGGTCATACTCATCCTTTGTAACATTATAAAGATCACACCTGCATTCTGTGCATCCCATCTGATCTTCGGAACCTCGTGTCTCAATTGCATGTACATTAAGCAACCATCTTTCTTCATATCCAGGAGGTACTTCTAAAGGATTACCAACCTCTATCCCATAAGGGTCTGGAACATATTTCACTGTTTTACGAGTTTCAGACCCAAGGCCAAAATATTGAAAAAGATCCCTTCCACATATCCCTGAGTTCCTCACTAATATATAATCTGACTGTTCAAACCCCAGATCGTCATGGTACTTTGACACCTCCAAACCTTTGTGTTGATAATATCTTACCACAAGCCAATGATGGAGATATGTTTCATAAAGGGGGACAGGATTCCTTGACTCATCAACTACTTCAGCATCAAAACTTTTGATAGCAATATGGCCTTTAGGGAAATCGATGTTGTAGTAAAATTTGTTAGCAACTAATCCAGGTTCGAGCACAAAATTTGGTGATAGGAAAGTGGCAGTTTTAACCTTGTTTTCATTTCTTAGTCGAGTCTGTAAGCTTGGGCGAATCGTTATTAGCAGTAGGACTGCCAGCACAAGCAACTTGCACTTTGAATTGAATGTCATCTTTTTTTCACTTTACCAACTCTCACTTCTGGTTTATATATCTGGCAACAACACTTTCAACCAGTTAAAAATCCATAGGTTAAGTTTTAGAGGTATCTGTGAGTTAAAAAAGTTTTTACATTTTTGTCATCGAACAACAGTACATTCTAGACAGATTAGTAGATTACTCAATTCATCGACTTTTGTTTATTATCACTGATTATAAAGAAAAGAAAGAGACATTAGACCGGTTAACTGACGCTACGTAGAGACAAAGGGTATCTATCGAACAAGATCATTTCACAATTTTCGGTTACTTTGAATTGTGGAAAGTCTTTTCTCTGAGGAAAATGTTTTCCAACAACATAGAGCAATTGGATGAGTCATTTTCCTTTACAAATATCCTCCCTCAAACTCCATATCACTTGCAAATATCCTCCCTCAAACTCCATATCACTTGCTTCAATCAACAATTCTGTCATTTTTATCCCTCTCAAAACACAATAATCGTATATGATCACCTACAATACAAACACAAAATGACACTTGGATAGAACTTTTTCCACATAACTTTTCTTTTTCATGGAAAACATTTTCTTTGCAACCGTGTTGTCTGAACCAGCTTGCACACACCTCAACTAATTGCACGAGTAGCATACCCTGTTATCTCTCACAAATACAACTACTAGGCAACTCTATCTACAAGGCTTTAATATCTTCATCTATAGAATGACCAATGTTGGGTTCCCATATTAAATTGTCCACGCTCCAGATATTCAACTCTCCAACCCTTAGTGTTGTGTTCCACATCTAAACTCTTCATGTGATTGAGCTACCTTTTGCGGTCGAGTCATACTAAAGTCCATAACATGTTTTCATCCATACTAAACACATATAAAGGAAACATAACGAGATGAAAGATAAACTCACCTGATATATGGTGTGTAGGGCTAAAAAACAACCCAAAGGAACGAGTTTATTTCTTCGAAATGCATACGTACGGTAGAATTTCCCGAAGCAGAGGCGAAGTAAACTAAAAAGTTGAACTTGGTTTACATGGAAAGAGTATATATGTGGAAGTTCAAGAATTCAGACGGTGACAACTGGACTCCGTTTATTGTACATCAATATTAGGTGTTGATAGGAACAAACGTGTCACTTGGAGAAGCAGTCGCATTATTTTCCAAGTCTTAATGACAAATGGCATTATTTCAATTTGAGATGTGAAGAACACCCAAAATGGAAAATAAGTACTACTCCCTCCGTTCTATATTAGATCAACATTTTACTAGTTGTTCCATATTATTTTACTTCTTCATATACTCCTAATAATTTTTTAAAAAATATTAATTAATGCATGACAATTACTTCAATATTATATAGTAAAAATCTTCACATTATCAACCCTTACATAACTTACTTCTAAACCAAACGATTTCGTAATTATTTTGCTAAATTAAATTTATTTTAAAGGTGGTTGAATTGGTGTAACCGAGATATCCCATAAAGGAGGTTAATGATTGAGTCTCACTTCGTCGTTTCTCAAGCGATTGAATTTTTCCTAGCTGGTCTCTTCTCAATCGAGCTCGTTGCATCAAAATTACCTAATACAATTCACATTTCTCACGTGATTTCCCAATTATTCCACAGAAGTAAATTTATCGGTGCGGACCATAAGAAATTAAGAATAGTAATGGCTTAATTTTATGAGATTTCAAAAAAAGAAAGTATTTATTAGTTTTAAAAAATTAAATCTATTCTTAATTAGTGAAGGGCAATAAACAAGTGAGAAGGGAAAAAAAAAACTTCTTAAAAATTTAAATCTACTAATGTCTCTTATCTTAAAAGAAAGACACATAATATAGATTAGCTAATTTGAAAGAATTTAATTTAATTTCTTACTTCAAATGCTATTACTATTCACCATATGAATACGAGGGTTTGCTCTAAAACTCTGAAACCAAAACAAAATCTGGAAATGAGTAGTGGGTGAACCAAAGTGCAGAATAGCTTGAGCTTTGAACCCTAATAATCGAAGAAATAATGGGTAAAAAGGAGAGGGCGCAAGAGAGAAGAGAGCAGAGACGCCAAGAGATCTCTCTTCTCCGTACTATTCCTTATTCTGATCAACAAAGGTCAATTCTTTGATCCATAAAAAAACTTTCTTGATATGTTTTGCATTTTGTCCTGAATTGAGTCGAACATATCCGTGCCTGAATTGAGGGTTTCTGCATTTGATTCAGAGGAAAAATGACAAGTCAAAGGGTCTAACTGTTAAGTGCTTAATTTTGCCCTGTAGCTTAAGCATTGGGTTTTAGTTAAATTAACAACAGAGGAAACTATGTGTAGATAATGGAACAGTCTCTAGCGTATTCAATTTTGGCATACTTATTAATTAAAAAAGGCATCTTCAGTTTTAGCATCTTATGCATGAGATACAAGAATATCATAGTTAAGATGACAAACTCAAAAGCAGCTCATTTTTCCTACTTTCAAATAGTTAGTATCTTAGGAAATAGTTTTAGGTTGAAGATTGTTTGTGTGTCCTTATGCTTATTGGACAAACAGCCTGCACTGCAAATGTTGCAGTTTGGATTCTAATAATGTGACCATATTCTCAAAAAAGAAATAATTTTAGGTTGAAGATTGTTTGTGTGTCCTTATGCTTATTGGACAAACAGCTCTGCAATGCAAATGTTGCAGTTTGGATTCTAATAATGTGACCATATTGTTCTGTTAGAAGCAGAGACGAATCTAGGATTTGTAAAATGTATTGAAGTGTGAATTGATCCTTAATCCTCAAGGTCAAAAGCTCAACA